TGCATATGATGCATGTCACACATTCACATGTTCATGGACTCAACATTTCACTTGTCATATCTCATCATGTCACTTGTTCTCATATCACATTATCATACTTATAGTCATAAAGTCACATATAAGAGATTCTCATCCTCATCATGCTCATAGAAACACAACACTTACATTAACACAATAATAAGGTAGTTCTTACACCATTAGCACCTTCAAACATGCCTTAAAACTTATCTATTTTCAAAATTATTCGTTCCTCATATGGTTTCCCACAAGAACCCACAACGCAACCTGATTTATATCAAAACTTATCTGTTTCCGAAATTAAACACATATTTACACTTAGCAAACATTAAGGAACACAACAAAAAACTCAAACATCAAAATAGAAAATATTCATATTTTGTCTGTTTCTCATAGGGTGCTCATAGGAACCCATAGAGAACTCTAATCCATATCAAAACATATCTAAACTCAAAATTAAACATACTTTCATGCTATTGCATTGTCATTTCCTTTTATGTTAAAAATTACAAGTGACATTTTAATATTTGACAATTTACCCTCTTTAAAAAAAATTATTATAGTTTCGTTAACTTGTGTTAAAAAAAGTTATTACCGATACATCATTTACACTAACATCCTCATAAATGTAAATATTACACCATTCTCCTTTCTTGTGTTAAAATAAACATTTTCCTTCATTAATAAAATCAAATATGTTACATTTTAACAATTTATCTCTTAATTTACATATTTAATTAATAATTTTAAAAATTATTATGAATTTTACTTAAACTAATTATATATTTAAAAAAATAGTTTTCATTATTATTTTTACAAAATATTTGAAAATTATTTATCAAAATAAAAATAATATATATTTAAGTATAATAAAGTCTAATACAAGTATTAAAATATTATTTAATTAATATAGTTAATGTAACATTTTTATAAATATATAAATAAAATAGTATTTTCATTATTTATCAAGGTATTATTTAATTAACGTTACTAATAAAATATTTTAATAATATTTAAATAAACTAATATTTTATAATATAGAGCATTATTTAATATATTTTATTAATATTATGTTAATGTATATATATATTAAATATATAATTTTTTTAAAATAAATACATTTATATACAAAAATATTATTAAA